TGCTGTTTGTATTTCATCATCAGTCTGAGTCTGATCTTTATCATGCACTGTAGAACCAAAACATAGATCCTACTTCTCATTTAGTCCAGAAAATGAATGAAAATGAAGTACATGGTTGACCTTAGTGGTTTCCAGCACGGATTCACGTTTTATAGGGAACAAATAATCCACAAAATGTTAATGGATAATTATTCAAACTGGCAGGTTGGACCTCGATTTACTGAAAGATTAGGGATCAATATTGAAAGCCTATATCTGTCTATGCTCCAGGAACTACACGGTACCAGAACCTCCCCCCCCCCTCGCCTGTTTGATGGCCATGTATTTAAAACACAAGAACTATAAACACAATGTTTAATTTCTCAAATAGATGAAATGTGAGGATTATCTTCTTTTCTATGTCGCTTCAGGTTTTGGGTTAAAACTAAATCTCAGCTTTTATGAATTTAAGTGACCAACACAAGTTGATTATCAGACATGAAGAAGTGTCAGATTTATTGATAATAAAATAACGAATAGCAGCAGCCCTGATGTCAAAATACTGCTTAAACATAATTAAAACAGTAGAAGAAGAAATGATGAAATAACAGAGAGTATTTAGTTTATTGAAACCATCTTGACATTGCACCACTGTGGCATCATGGTGTTCATGCAAACAGCGTCACTTTCTGTGTTTGATTAGTCGTGCTGCTTGAGAAGCATCTCGGCGGTATTCCTGCTCCTCGTTCAACAACGCCTGCCAGCCGTTTGAAGACACCCTGCCAGAGTTTGGGCTGAGTGCCAAACCCAACTAGATGTGGAATGATAAAAATGTCTCAACTGTCACATAAATTAACGACACTTTATTTCTCACGAGAACTTTGGATCCGGCTCTGCATGTTGGCACCGTGCCGCACTCAGGAGGCGCTTTAATCCTCCTGGGATCAAGAATCTGACTTTACAGTGGAAATGATGTCTTTAACTCCGTTTTTTAGTCTTTACAGTGAACTGCTGGTGGATAGTGCATCTTCATTTGTTTTGTAATAAGCTGACTTGGGCAAACACACATGGTGATGTTGGACCTGAAACTGTTGAATATTTAGTATTTCTGCTCGTGTTGAGGGAATAACCACACGTCGAGGCGGGACAGAAGCTCACGTTTGCTTGTTGAAGCTTCTGTTCTTTAATTGCAGGCAGTCCTGGCCCCGGCGATGTCATGCTTTCATTAGCAGGTGATTGGGCCGTCGCGTGACATTTAGCCGACCCCGCTGTGCAGCTGAGAGATTATCGGCCTCCTCGGGTGTCAGTAATGTGATCCAGGCTGTCGCCAACACATTCCTGCTGACCACAAACTCTCTCAGAGCACCGTCCAGCTTGGATCAGTGAGGAAGTCTGTCTGAATTATAGATGTTCATATTTTCACCATCACAACATATGGCCGGAAGTTTCACTATTTCACTGAGGATGTTTGGGATGATGATGGAAGTCTGCAGCTGGGTTAGCATTGATCCAGGAACAGGATCGAGCTGAACATGTTGACTGAATCTTTGGAGCAGAAATTTACAAACGCATAAGGGTGCATGCAAATGTGTGATGGTGGGGGCTGCACTTGACGTTATACTGGTATATTGGTTGCACCAGTACAGGTGACACTGCCCACTTTTTAGATGAAAGACTTGATTTCCAAAGTGTCTAATACATCGATTTAATGGAAAATCAATCAATCAATCATTTGTTTAGAGCCAATTCATAACAAATGTTATCTCAAGGCGCTTTAACTAAAAAGCAGGTTAAAGACTTTACTCATTATTAATAAAAAATGGGATGGAGCGAGGGGATAAGATGCAGGAAGGATTTCTTCTTTGTGTTCCTCTCGTTCCTGTTGTCCACACTTCCTTACCACTGAGGTGGAGGTCGGAGCAGGCCGTGCATGAATGAGGACGGCGTTGGTTGTGAGGACGACACAGTCTGATGGAGGTGGCTGGGCGTCAGGGACGTCAGGTGGTAGTCGTGACCGATCACCTCGCTGAAGGTTGAGGGAGCTCCGTCTGCTCGAGAGCCCGGCCTCTGCTGCAGGAAAATGTGAAAGTGGCGACCTAAAGTTTGAACTTTCTAAAAATGTAACGATATGTCCTTACAAGCAGCATATGATATTATTCTAAATGATCAGATAATCTACAGATTATTTCTTGAACACTGATTGATCCTTCGAGCCAAGTGTTTCTGAATTATGAAAAAATCTTCATCACAAGTTGCCAGGTCTTGAATTTGTATATCGTAATGTTTTTGTTCTGCCTGTCCATTTCTCCAAACACCAAATATATTCATTTTATTCAAAAGTGTTCAGATTTACGCTTCAGGAGCTAAAAACAGAAAGCTTGGCATTTCTTTTTTAGATACTTTCAAACGTGTTTGTCGCAGGTCATTTGGAGAAACGATGAATTCACTTTTAGCTTTTTGAACAAGTAGACACACTGCTCCTCTGCACAACTCGTCTGAACATACATAATGAGATTAGCAA